TGCTACTCAAAACTGAGAGTCACTAGCCTAGGATCTGACGGTAGGTGTCTAGCTTTGCCAACCAAACCAAACCATTTTCTCTGGTTATCATTATGAAACTCAATTAATAAATGAGCAATTCTTTTCTGCTCTATAAGGTATCCAGAAACATGATTCACAGACCCTTTAAGAATATTGGATGCTAAAACTGAAAGGCTATTACATCTGCCCTACCACTGTTTTGCAGTGAATTCTTATATATTCTCAGCTCTTTTACCAATGGGGTTCTATGGAAAACAGCGTTTAAGAATATATTAGTCAGAGATCTGGAGAAAATCCTCATCTGGCAGCCTTTCCAATCCACCAGCAGAGAAACTAAAATTCCCAAATGCAGAATGACCTCTTCTCAGGACTCCTGGGTAGCTGGCACCAGTAAAAGATGTGGTTCATTCTAAGTAGTAGAAGCCACTCTGTCCCTAGACACCAGTCCTCATTGTCTGCTACCTCCATGGATATTAACAGACAGGCAAAAAGACAGCATTTGCTCATCTTAAAATCCTTCAGGCAACAGGAGTAGCTATTGCTCTGAAATAAGAACAGAGCTGACTGTTCCCAGAACATACCATTTGTCTCTCAGTATTTTAAATTGATCAGGTGATATCCCAATTTTTTTCTCACCTTCAATTTTTAACACAAACTGGGAAGTTATATTTCTGGTCAGAAACATTCCTTCTGTCCACACTTCTCAGTTTTCTGGGATTTCTCAAGGGGAATTCCTTTATCACTATTTCCAGAATTATAGGAGTATTTTGATAACTAAATACAGATGAGTACCAAAATCTATTCAGTCAACATTATGAAGTTATAAGGACCAGGAGTCTCTGGGGTCCTTGCTATCCAGTTGATGGACATAGCCATTTGCTGTTATTATTGGAGCTAAGGCTCTGTCTCTGAGACCATAATTTGTGCATGCCCAGAAATTGAACTTCTGGGGTCCCCCTGAATTCCTTCTGTCATCTTGGTTCCAAGGACATAGATTATGTTCAGTTTCTAATCCTGTCAAAACATCAGCTCACATTTGTTCATCACCCTGTACTTGCATCTCCACTTATGGTATTTATGAAATTGTTTCTACAAGTATATGAAGATTAGGAAGGTGGTCATCGCCAAGTTTTATATATTTTTTCTATGCTCAGCATATGCATCATTTCACCCAGCCCAGAGTAAATGGGGAAACTGATGGCCAGTGAAGCTAAAACCTTGCCCACCACCATAAGTTGAATTGAGTGGCAAGGATAGTTTTTGCTCCCAAAGCTTTTGGTATTTTGATCTAGAATGTTCTTAATCTTGGTATAGTGATGTTTATGTCTGAGGATCACTGATGGTAAGACATCATTATTGTAATTTCCATCCTACATGTGGCTTTTGCTTTCTTTCTATTGGGCAATGTCTGGTGATTTCTCAGGCATTTCATAACAACACCTAAGCACAGATGTCTTCATGCTCCTTTTACTGAAGCATAGAGCTATCTTCTCAGGATCACACAGTCATAATGACCAGAATCCAAGTTCTCCCTGAAACCACACCAGCTTCCCACCTATAGCCTCCCTTCCCACCTATAGTTTATATTATAAATTTTTGCACATCCATTCCACAAATTTATTTTGCATTTTATATATCCTCCTATTCACCAGTTAACTTAAAATATACCTGATTGGTGATGGGCACTGTGATAAATGCAGAAATATAGAAACACATAAATAAGGCACAGAAATAAGCAAGCATGGACCCAGCCCTAGAGAAAGTCTATCAAGATCACACCCCTGGTGTTGATCTGGATTGTAGACCCAGCATGCTAGAATATGTCATCAGAAAATTCAGAAAGACTGAAAAGAGTGATGCTGACAGGATGCACTTCTAAGAGATTGACTTGACTAGGTATGCACAAATCAGCTCTCTGTTTGAATTCCTGCTGTCTTAGTTACTTTTCTATAGCTATGATAAAACGCCATGATCAAGGCACCTTATAAAATAAAGCATTTAGTTGGGCTTATGGTTTCAGAGGATCAGAGTCCTTGATGGAGAAACAAAAGCATTGAGGTAGGAACAAAACAGCATAAAATATTAACTCTCTGGAACAAAGCTACAAAACATGTACAAGTTCACCAATCAGAAAACCAATAAAATTCTTCAGTGAATTTTAAAAATACAGAATCAAAGTTATAAAGATATCAGTAATTCTCAAATAAATCTGTACAGACAATGAATTATCAGTTAATATGCCATCAGGATTCATACGCATGCATTGTCCTCTAATTCTGAAATTCATACAGAAATGAAGAAACTCAAAGAACTGAGACATGATTAAAGAAACCCAAGAACAAGACCTACCCACTGGTATTCAGTTTACAAAGCCTAAATATAACCTACTCAGGCTGTATGTTACTTATATGTATGTTTTCAAGGCTAACCATTTGTTATTGAATCACCAATTGTTCTGATGGATCCTGGGGAAGAATTTTTCCCACTCTCAGCATTCCTTAGTCACCTGTAGTTCTTTTTGTAGGGTTGAGGCCTCGTGGGCCTCTCCCAGTTCACTTTGGCTTGTCGATTGGTGTCACTCTTGTTCAGTTCATGTTTGGGTAGTCATGCTGGTGAGACTTTCTGAGTATACTTTTTGACATTCCTAGGAGACACAATCTCCCAGCAGATTTCCTGATATTCCAACTCTTAAAATCTTTCTACCCCCTCTTCCGAAATGTTACCTGAGCCTAGGTGCAAGAGTGTTTTGTATATGTATCCATTGGGACTGGACTCCACAACTCTGCATTTTGACTGGTTGTGGTTTTCTGGAGTAGTTTTCATCTATTGCAAATGAGTGCTTCCTTAATGAATAGTGAGGACTACACTTATCTGTGGGTATAAGGACAAATTATTAGATTGTTGTTAGGGGGTATGCCAAGTTAGAAAAATTGAAGTCTTTGTCTTTTAAAACTATTCAAGATTAGTGCAGGACCCAGACCAAGAGGCTGCATCTAGTGAAGTCTTCCTGCTGACAGAGTTTTCAGGTGAATTAGTACCTCACATAGCAAAATACAGGGGTGGTCCATGTGTGTGTGTGTGTCCTTTCTGGTCTATCTTACAGAATCAGTAGGATTTAATCATGAGGATTTCCTTTGCTGATCTTAACTAACCATTACCCAAGGGCTCCCTTGAGGCATCACAGTTGAATTGAATGTCTATTTTCTTCATACTTCACAGAGGAGATTAATTTCTATTCATGATGAACCATATCCAAAATTACAGCATCACCTCCATTTCATTAGGGTGAAGTCTCCAATAAATGAGTTTGGGAGGCATGCATTTAGTCCATAATACCCTATCCAATTATGGGCATATTTTTCATTTGTCATTCACTGAAAACAGAAAGCACGCTTTTGAAGATATGGTGAAAGAATCAAGATCTTTGTCATTCTCTTGTACTGTTTATTTTCAAAAGAACAAATGTACTGAAGCTAAAATTTAGACACTCAACTTTTATTTTCCCTAGCTCTTAGTTATACAAATTCAGCTGTAAGCTCACATGACTTTCTGGGGGTGTTCATCCTCCACTTTAATTAGCATTAGGACAGCCAAGACTTTTGCATAAACACCTTGAAAATGCCATTTATTTCATTTCTAAAGGCACTATTTGTAGAACTACCCTGTGACAAGGCCAGCATAGTACATCATTAATGACTTAAGTAAAAGAAAAATGTATCAATTAAAGCGTGTTCTTTTATAAAAAAAGATAGCAATTAACTAAAGGCCCACGTGTTGACATTCTCTGCTATTTCACAGCAGATTTAATGTGATGGCAACACCACTGATTTTGGAAGTGAAAATAATTGATGTTTCAGACATACATAGTATTAAAAATAGGATTTTCTTCCATTGGAGAGTTGAGATACATTGTTGACTAAAAACATCCACTTCTATATCCGGCACCCTGAATACATCCTCCCCAGAGTAGGACCATAGGGTTCTTTGTCTCCATGGCAGCTTATCTTGAGCATCTGAGCATCTGCCTCAACCAGCTCCTGCCTTGAGATACAGATGGTACTCAGATGAAATAGTCTGGATGCAGAGTCTCACCACACCTCAGCTCTGATCAGATGTTACAAGATAGCAATGTAGACCCATTATATTTAAGCTCATATTCTCCCAAAGCAGTAGGCACAACTAAGGTAATGAAAACCCTGTTTCAGCTCTGTTATATGGACCAACCTTAGCCAGATACATGCTATAAAGGAAGCTGGGACATCAACAGATATGCCCAGCTAACAGAAACACAATTGTAAAGTTCTATGCAGTGTAAGTAAGGGATGGAAGGAATTTTGTAACAGAAAGAGAAAAGTATCAGCAAAGTTTTCACAAAAACTAAAAGGAAAAATGACCTTCACTTTGGAAAATAAAACATCCTTGTCCAAAGGAAGAATGTGGGAGAGATAAATAAACTCATTCTCAGTTCCTGGTAATTGAAGTATAGCATAATTAAATGAAGTAGAACAAAATATAATTTTGAAGGAGAATAAGCAATCAGGAATTATTTTAAAAGTCAAGTTATTCTGTCAGCCTTCAACATCCACAGATTCTATCCACAGATTCAATAAATTCACAGATCACAAATATTGTTTGGAAAATGTTTACCTAGGCATGGCATTCATCCTATATAAGATACTACAAACAGCCTGAAGAGTACTTAGAGTAAATAGGGGGATGTGTGTGTGGGGGGGGTCTGTGAAAATACTATGCCATGTAAGGAAATTAAGTGTCCTGGGTAACTTGGAGATAACCTTCTGGAAACAAGGTCAGGGGGATTTCTAGATTCATATTAAAGAGATTAGAAGTTGGTGACATTCTTTGAATAGGGAGTTCTAGTATTAGAACAAATACATTATATCAGATAAGCATGAAGAAACATTTAAGATTTCTGAGGAGTCTAGCAAGACACAATAAGGACCTGGAGGTGAGGGGAGTACCTGGGTACAGAGGAAGGATCCCTGAAAGGAGAAAGAGGTGGCTCACATTGACGCTTTGGTAGAATCTAGGAGCACAGATGCCAAGAATGCACCAACAGGCTTCTTGTCTCCATAGCAACTGCACATTCCAAAAAATTGATCTTTTATCCAGTCACTTCATTGAAACTGTTTATTAGCTATAGGAGTTTCCTGGTGGAATTTTTGAAGTTGCTTATGTATACTATCACATCATCTGCAAATAGCGATATTTTGACTTCTTCCTTTCCAATTTGTATCCCCAAGATCAATTTTAAAAAAATCAGTAGCCCTCCTATATACAAACAATAAATGGGCTGAGAAATAAATCAGGGGGGAAAACACCCTTCACAATAGCCACAAATAATATAAAATATATTGGAGTAACTCTAACCAAGCAAGTGAAAGACCTGTATGACAAGAACTTTAAGTCTTTGAAGAAAGAAATCAGAGAACATATCAGAAGATGGAAAGATCTCCCATGTTCATGGATTGGTAGGATTAACATAGTAAAAATGGCCATCTTACCAAAAGTAATCTACAGATTCAATGTAATCCCTATCAAAATTCTAACACAACTCTTTACAGACCTCAAAAGAACAATATTCAACTTTATATAGAAAAACAAAAAGTTCAGGATAGCCAAAACAATCCCGTATGATAAAGGAACTTCTGGAGGTACCATCATCCCTGATTTCAAGCTCTACTACAGAGCTATGATAATAAAAAAAACAGTATGGTATTGGCATAAAAACAGACAGGTGGATCAATGAAATCAAATAAAAGACCCTGACATAACTCCACACACCTGATTTTTGACAAAGAAGCCAAAATTATACAATGGAAAAAAGAAAACATCTTCAACAAATGGTGCTGACAAAATTGGATGTCGGCATTCTGAAGAGTGCCAATAGATCCATATCTATCACCCTGCACAAAACTCAAGTCCAAGTGAATCAAAGACCTCAACATAAAGCCAGTTACGTTACACTGAACAAGAAAGTGGGAAGTAGTCTCAAATGCATTGCCACAGGAGACAGCTTCCTGAATGTAACAACAGTAGCATGGACACTTAGATCAACAATTAATAAATGGGACCTCCTGAAACTGAAATGCTTCTATAAGGCAATGGACACTGTCAATAAGACAAAATGGCAGCCTGCAGAATGGGAAAAGATCTTCACCAACCTCACATCTGACAGAGGGCCAATCTCCAAAAATATATAAAGAACTCAAGAAACTAGATAGTAAAAAACCAAATAATCCATTTTTTTAAATGGGGTACAGATATCTAAACAGAGAATTCTCAACAGAAGTATCTCAAATGACCAAAAGACACTCAAAGAACAACATCCTTAGTCATCAGGAAAATGAAAATCAAAATGACTCTGAGATTCCATCTTACACCTGTCAGAATGGCTAAGATCAAAAACACTAATGCTAACTTACATTGGAGAGGATGTAGAACACCGGTGGGAGTGCACACTTGTACAGCCACTTTGGACATCAATACGGCAGTTTCTCAGAAATTTGGGAATCAATCTACCTCAAGACCCAGCTATAACAATTTGGGACATACACTCAAAGGATGCTCAATCATATCACAAGGACACTTGCTCAACTATGTTCATAGCAGTGTTATTTGTAATAGCCAGAACCTGGAAACAACCTAGGTAACCCTCAACTGAAGAATGGATTAAGAAAATGTCGTACATTTATTACTCAGCTGTTAAAAACAATGACTTCAGGAAATTTGAAGGTGAATGGATGGAACTATAAAAAAATCATTTTGAATCAGGTTAACCAGACCAAGAAAGACAAATGTGGTATGCACTCACTTCTAAGTAGATATTAGCTGTAAAGTGAAGGATAACTATGCTACAATCTACAGCCCCAGAAAGGCTAGGTAACAAGGAGGGCCCAAAGAGGGACACATGGATTTCCCTGGGAAGGGGAAATGGAAGAGATCTTCTGGACAAATTAGGTGATTAAGACCTCACTTATTGAATCTCATTCCATTGATCACTGTTCCCAGTTAATAGGAAAAAAAAGTTGGTTTGCCTTGAAGAAGATCCAAAGTCAGTAACTAGATGAGTGATACTCTAAAATCCTTTTTATTTTTCATGTAATTCTTTCAATAAAAGGTAGAGAAAGGATGCTCAAGCACCTAGCTGGAGAGGATCTAACCTCTCTTCACACTGCCCAAGACACAACACTGCAAGACATTTGAAATCAAGCAAGCATGTTCATAACTGTTTGATTGTATTTCATTTAAACAATAAATCTAAACACTTTCCTTTACCATAATATGCTATGTATGACAAGGCACCTTCAAATCCTCTCTATTTTGCTTTACATGAAAAGAAGGAACAATTAAAAGAAATAGAACTTCACCACCAACATGCCCCTTGGTTTTGAAAATCATAGTCAGCCCATTGCCCTGGAGGAGGAAGGAGGTGGGCTTCCAGTACATGAAGCTGCCTGAGTTCTCATTACCCTGGATATAAGCCTCACTACTTTCCTGCTTTTTGTCAGGGGCCTCATTCTGGGCCCATGTCTACTAACCCTCACCAAGGCTTATTAATAGAATCACCCTAGACATCCTAGTGTCCTGAGTAAAGTCTGGCTGGGCCTACATCTACATGGAACCTCCTATCCCAGTGATTTCTTGGGATATATCTGTACAAAGCTTGGCGTTTGGAGAACGAAAACCTTGACTGCAATCATTTCTTTGCTAAATGATACAACTTCCCACTTTGTTTTTCAAAGGGAATGCAGCTTTTACACTTAAGTGGAGATATACAGGGCAGCTTCTTACACAAACTGAGTTCTCTACCTTTGAATCCAGTAAGTCTGTCTTGAGAGTCAACTGGTGCAGATGATGTACATTTTTTATGGGCAGAAAGTACAGTTAGGTTATCTGCATCAGTGTGTACATATGTCTTAGCACAATACATTTAACATCTTGAAATCCAGCATTAGCATGCTTTGGTCATAGTCCCACACAGCCAACTTCTTATGGTTTCAGATTGCTGGAATGTCTTAAGTCACATCAACCCACGCAGAAACAGAGTTCAGGAGGAAAACACAAAAAAGCAAAAATACAGAAGCAAAGACAAGTTGGAAGCTGCTGTCTTTCTTCTCAGAATAATAATAATAAAGAATACAAATTTGTAACTAGTGCCGACACTCAACATTTTTAGAGTCCTGTTTCATTTTCAAAGTCCCCACCACATATGAGGCCAAAGTGATCTTTCTGTGGATCTGCCTGTGGTTTGACCTTCAGTCTTCAGTCCTAACTTAATAGAGTAAAACACTCCTTACTTTTTCTGCCCTTCCAAAAGCTACTATAGCATTGACATTCTCCTTTGTGTTTAATTTGATTACTGACTTCGGGTTTTCCTTCCCAGATGCTTTTATATCTGTCTTTCCTATTAAAGTTCAAAGTTTGTTGTATGGCAGCTATGCAGACAGCATCTCCAATCCTTCCTCACATTTGCTAATTCCAAAGCTATTCATTGGTGCCCTTAAAATCTCATCATGTATTTTAACTGGCACACTTCACAGTTTTTTACTTTTCCATTTAGGGGGCAGGATAACCAAATAACCAAGACAAAAGAATGTGCTTTTTCTTCTTTTCAGTCTGGTGTTGAGCACTGCAATAAACTGCCCTTGGACTAAGAATGAAGATACATTATGAACATCCAAGAAATAAGAAAATAGGAGTGGATGTGTATAGTGGCAATTAAAGAGGCAATTCCATGTAGTTTATCTGGTAATTAAAAGGGGTTTATTTCAGGGTAACAAACCAGTAAGAGGTCAGTTACAGGATCTGTGAGAGATGAGGTGCAATTCAGCATAGTTCTTTGGAGAACTCTGACTTGGTCTGCAATCCAGCATACAGGATCACGTGGAGCCAAGAGAGCCAGTTTATGCATCTTGGGTCTTAAAGGGTCTCTTCTCAGCCATGCCCCGGGGCAGGTCATAGGCAGGTGTGGCAGTTACCTGCTGCCTCACTAGGGGCAGTGCTTCAAGGTCAAAACTGGAACAGCTACCTACTACATCTCCCTCTTTTGTCTAAATAAGAAAGTTCTAACCTAATAAAAAACTATATACAATAGGAATGATTATCAAATATTTCCCAGAAGGAATAAGGGGTAATGACCTAGACAAAATGTAACTACAACCAATAAGAACAACACCAAACAAGAGACACAAGCAAAAATCCAGAGAAGTCTGGAGCATAGGTAAATGGCACGTTACAGAGATCATTCCAAAAGGTATCATTGGTGCATTCAAATTGGCTACAGGCCTAGAGTATCTGTTAGACCATTTTCAGAAGCAGGTATTTTGAAAAACTATCTTACTCTGTCTTGGAAGAGTTCAATAGTTGTTTTACCTTGTGTCCCATTCATTCAGAAGGGACAGTATTTGCACTGTCAGCAGTCAAGGCAAGGGAAGTTCTTTGCCCAGTATGCCATTTTGTGCCAAGAAGAAGATAAACTTCCAAACAGAAATGTTTCAGAAGCCCAACATTCTCTCGGGATCAGATCAGTGCCGCCAGGAGCAATCATGTCTCACATCAATGGAATTCTAAGTTATCAAAGCATTTAAATGCCATATTCTCTAGGTCTATGAAGTGTTTGGAGATTACCTATCCATCTGACATATGTTTCTGTAAGTCTGGAGAACCTAACTAACATAATTATAGAAATGACAAGCATGAGTGACTGACTATAGGTCAGTAAGTCTTCTCTACTAAAATAACTTAAGGACTAAGGCTTCACATTAACAAGATAAACAGTCTGTAAGCAGATGTACTGTATAAGGACAATGACCTCAAAACTGTGACAATACACAAAATAGCTTAAACAGAGGTAGGAATATATATATAGTGCAATATGCAATATGACAATAAGCCTAAATATGTATCAATATACAAAATATCCTAAACAGAGGTATAACATATATATAGTATGACAAATATAATTTTACATTTGTATCAATATACAAAAAATTTCAAACAGGAGTAGAAATATGTGTACAAACAACAAATATAGTTTTGTATTTGTATCAAAAAATAAGAATCC